CCCAGAGTGGAGTCCCCTTATGTGCGTTGAAGGTTGAGTAAGTTCCGAATGGAGACCTCAACTTGAATTCTACTTCTATCCAATTCTTATTTGAAGGGAAATCCTCATAGAATAATAATAATACTGCTTTCCAGTAGAACTTTTGAATTGTGTATTAAAGGAATAATATTATTTAATACGATTCAGGGACGCGACCAACTCTTAGCACATCAACGGTAAATCATAACTGGTTTATGTCCAGAAAAACTACTTTTGAGATAAACACACAAACAAAACGTCGTTCAAAAGTTAGTTTTACCAATATATTATTATTTTCTAATTTGCAATTTAAGGAAGGCTATTCCACCATTGCACGCAGGTACCTTTGTCCTCCAATTTTTCAGTCCCACAAAGTTCCCCGTAACTCCACACCTATGTAACTTATGTGCATAAAATTATAATAACACCACCAAGCCTAGTGGTGGCCTAGTGGTTAGGCTCTCGGACTCGCAACCGTAAGGTCGGGGATTTGAATCCTGTCAGGGGCCCGACGTTGTGTCCTTGGGAAAGGCACTTTACACGAATTTTCCTCACTTCACCCAGGTGGGAATAGGTGGGAATAGGTACCCGGCTATAGACAGTGAATGATCTTGTCAGTTTGTTAGTGTTTGAGCGCTTAATCAGCTGCTTGCACTGTATGCTTCCCGGGAAGCTGAGAATGTTTCTGAGTGTTCTATGGTCTGCTGGGGTAATAATATAGTGTAAAGCGCATAGAGCTTGCTGTCGAGCGGGGTTATGCGCTATACAAATGCTATGTATTATTTATTATTATTATTAGAAGAAAGCAATGCTACGTGCAATAAATATACAATTAGATCCTAGATGAAGTGGCCTGACATGGGTTTGGTAGATTTTTTTTTTGCGCCTGTAGACAACCGAACGATGCCGTGCACCGGTGAAATCCCACATCTTAAATGATCTAAATATTGTGTCAAAGAGAGCGCAGAAAACCTATACATGTATATCTAAATAAAAACTGGGAAGTGGAGACCTCAACTAGATTGTTATCATGAAGCACCAAATCTGTGACAAACCTCAGCAAGCATGGTTCGCCATTCATTCCTCTGCTAGGAAGCTCTCAAATAGGCTATATTAATATCATCCTGATCTTTCCGCATCATCTGTCTTTTGGGGCTTTCCAAGTACATTACAAATTGCTATGAGTCTACCTCTGCTTCGTTTGCCTTCAATTTTACCTGTGCGAGTTTGATGTTAAAAGACATTATGTCTATTCAAATGTCGTATAAATTGCATAAAAGACCTTAATTAAGAACTGCTAATACATAGTTATTTGAGGCCCAACATGGACCTAAGCGTTTTCTTGAACTTTGAACTCATGCTGTAATAGACAAACACGTTGATGCTCGAGTTGACGGCATACAAGAAGTACGCCACGCCCCAACACAGACGGTACAGCTTTCCGTAGCGACCTTGACCGCTGAACTCCGGTTCTATCAAGGTCGCCACTGAGGACATCTGCGCCGGGAGGAAACACAGCAGGATAACGGAGGAGAGCAAGACCACCATGCGGATCAGACGCCTCTCTTTGACGGAGGAGGAGGTGCTTGAGCTGTTGCTGTTGCCGCTGTTGCTGTTTGCTGCTGTCGTCGTCGCCGCCACCGCCGCTGCTGTTGTTGTAGTGGAGGTGGTTGGTGTAGTGGCAGTGGTTGACGACCGTAAAAATCCTTGTCGAGATCTCTGGTGTTGAGTGAGGAAAATTATTAAGGCCAAGGTCACTACGCAGAGACAGATTAGCGAAGAGATTTGTAAAGGCGTGGCTAGGACGTAGGAAATATAGGTGAGAATTACGTAGTGCTCCGTGAAATAAAGGTTTAGAACAGTGGCATTGTTGGTGGAGTCACGGCGATACCCAAATCTGAGGGCGAAAAGAGACGGCACAACGGTTCCTATGGCAACCACGAAGATGGCCACCACAGCGATCAACGTGACCTTCGGGGTGATTATTTCCTTGACCTTGAAGGGAAGTGCGATACAGAGGCACCGCTCCACGCAGATGAAGACCGCGAGCGACGAGCTATTTATAGCCAGGCCTAGCACCAGCCAGCCTCCTGGGGAAGACGGGGATGGGGGAGGGGGGGGGGATAAATAGATGGATGAAGAAGACATTATAATTATATAGACAACGACGTCAACAATGACGCTAACTGTATGAAGAAAAATGGTAAAACAAAGAAATGAGATGAGGAAAAAGAAGGAGAGGGAGGAGGAGGAAGAGAGGGATGAGGAAGAGCAAGTGGTGAGGAGGAGGGAGCAGGGGGAGTAGTAGGTTAGAGAGGTCAATGAGCGAGGGAAGAGGAGGAAGAGGCGGAAGAAAAAGAAGAAGAAAATTAGTAGAACAAAAGGTTTTACGTTCCCCCATAGGATACTCGGCGGCAAAAAGATGCATACAGTTTAATGAGCCAAAAAGAAAACCAAAACCATGAAGCTTCTTCCAATGCAAAGACCGTAACACCATTGAGGGAGAAAAATAAATGAACATTAAAGCTAGACGAACTAAGAAAAACAATACCCACAGGAAAAGAAAACAAAACGAATAATAACGCAGTGGTCACAACTGAGGATATCGCCATTTTGTTTGGTTTGTTAACGCAGTCGCACTAGGAGATCCCGCCACTTAAGTAACCTAATAGTGTTTATAGAGGCGTTAAACCCATACCATTTTACTCTACTCTATCCGAGGTCAGTGGAAATTAATGTTTGGTGCAGCCTAAATGTCTGGACCCGTGCCCTGCCCAGTGTCCGACTTCATGAAATCGCCCCCCA